GGAGGGGTTGGCTGATCCTCTGGGGCACAGGGGGTGACTCTGGGGATGGGCCTGTGCAGGGCTGAGGGTTGGACTGGAGGGTCCTGGTGAGTCCCTCCCAACTCAGCATGTTCTGTGATTCTGTAACTTAGGAGAAAGATTTGAGTTTAGAACCTCTAGGTGAGGTGTTATTTCAGTGCTGCAGATGGTTAGAGGGGTGTGAAACCATTAAGCAGGTGATTTGGAATGCATAAAATTTTGCTGAGGTGGTGCTTAGGGGGGAGACACATCAGTGATGTGTGTCCTGGAGAGAAACTGAGGCCTTGCCTGAGTGTGAAGGTAACTTCCTCTGCAAATCTCTTCCCAGTGTTTAACCCAGCATGAGTGTAATTCTGTGACACCTGCTTAGCAGAGAATAGGTGACAGTGCAGTTCCCCTGGGAGCAGAGTTCCCGTGACCCCCTGCAGTGTTTAGGCACAGAAGGGAAAGGTGTGTCTGGCTCTGCGTTTTTTGGGTGTTTGGTGGGGGTTTTTTTAGCACTTTGTAAACATTGTGTTTCTGGGCAGCAGAGTTCTGTGCTAACAGAGTGAACTATAGAGAGGGTTGGTCTTAATCTGATGATTTTATACAATTAAAGGATTTGTCCTCCTTCTCCTGCCTGTAATCTTAGTACCCCCAAATCATCTACCAGCTCTGCGGGGAGCAGCTCAACCTCACAGAACTGCAAAGGTTTTCAGTGCAGCTTGAACATGGGCGAATTAGTTTGACCAACAAATGAACAAAACAATGGGATGTTCTGGAAGTTTGAGGATGTTCTCAGTTTTAACTGTTTTAAAAGTTACTGTCACACATTTTTCTTAGCATGTACTCTGTGTCCCTTCTCAGTGCAGGTAGAAGCTCTCCAAGATTCTTCATTTAAATGAATTTACCAATCTTTTTGAGCATTTTTTAAAAAAAGTGCCTAAAAATGGGAACAATCTCCATACTAAAGGAAGTCTGCAGTGCTGTTCTGCTGGCTGCTGTGTTGACCACCTTTCTACTAGATTTAGCAAGGGCATTCTGAAATGGAGAAGGTTTCTTGCACTTTTTTCATAGATATCTGGTGTTACAGGTAGCACTGGTATCAGAGAAGGGAACAATGGACTAAATCACTAGTGTCACTGTATTCCTAATAATTTCCTTTTGACAAATACTGGTAGTAGTGGGATGGAATTTTTTGTTTGTTGAAGACTTCCAAAACTTGGAATTGGTGTATTTTTTGCTATTGCTCAGAATTAGTCTTTCATTTTGTCTTTTTTATTCCCCTATCTTCTTAAGAATCCTAAAATGTTTAAAAAACACATCTGCAGTTTATGCTTTTATTCTTAATGAAAGTTCTGAACTGAAGATAAAATTAACTCACCCTTTGGCTCATATCCTGTTAGTAATAAATGTAAGTACTGTCCCCACTTTGAGTCTGTTTTGCCTGTGAAGGGAATCAGTCACTGACCTCTCCCAGCTCTTATCTCTACTCATGAATCCTTAGCTGTTTTTTTTTCTCTCTCCTCTGTCCAGTTGCAGAGGGGGGTGAGACAGCAGCTTTAGTGGGTACCTGGTGTCTGGCCAGGGTCAACCCACTACACACAGGTAGTCCTCAGTACTGCATGGGACTTTGCACATCCCATACAATTAATCTAAAGTGTATTTATCATCTAAATCTGAATTTCCCAGTACAAATTTTATGTGTTTAGTCATAAAAATATATGCAGACTTATGAACAACTGTGTGTGAATGAGTACAAATAGAACTAGGTTCTCAATTTCTAGCTTAAATATATAGTTGGGCAAATAACAAGAATACTGATAACAGCATTAACAGTTTTAATGAGGGAAGAGCTTTGAATAGAACTAAATGCAAATACCTTGGCTAAACAAATTTGTAATTGTTCAGAACTGTGGCAAACTCTGTCTGCTTTTCCCAGCTTTATTTGTAGCAGTAAAAACTGTTTTTTGAAAGGGAGCACCAAAATTATGTTCATTCTTGCACTGAAACGTTCTGCTCTTGACAAACTGTTGAAAGTGAGCTGTGAATACCTGATAAATAAGGTTAATAATTTTTAACAGTGCCTCAGCTGTAACAGCAGCACTGTCAGGCTGGTGCTGCACCAGTGTAAAGGATTTGAAGAAGGGAGTACTAGTACAAGGAAACCGGATAGTAATTCTTATTTTTATGCTTGAAACGCTGATTTAATCACCAGTTTCCTCCATTAAACTACTTTATATCGACATCTTTCATTTTTCTGTCTTTGAAGGTGGTAAATATGATTGCCATTTTATCCATTTTTGTTATAAATGAAACAGACTTCAGAGCATTTGGCTGTGCATCAGTTGTTGGAATGCTGCCATACACTAATGCAGACTCCCCACTGTGAGCCCAGTGAAGAATTATACTTTGATTCACCAGATTGTATTAAATAGTCCAGCTGTTGGGTTTGAAAGATAGTTACCTCCAAAGTGAAATAAAAATGAACTTGGCATTTATGGCTTGACCATTTTTATAGTGTTGGGCAATCAGCTTTTCAAAAGTAGCACTTTTTAAAATAACCCTTTTCTGGTTACACTGCTTTAAAAAGTTTAATTTGCTGTAGCATTCAAAATACCCCACCTTGTATTTTTTTGAATGATTGGCAACTTCTGCATAAAGTCAGCGTTATTTTCTTTATGAAGTCACTAGCTTCTGATGATAATCAAATGAGTCTGAAACTGTATCTATTAGTGCCAATTTCTGCATTAATTAACTTATACCAAAGTTCTGATGTTAGAGACAATTCTTGTAATTAAAGCTTGAACGTGGAGTTTCATTTGCTGTATCCAGCGCTGCAGTAGCAAGCTGAGTAAATTCTTTCTGAAATGGAAAGTGCAGCAGCTGTTGTTTCTATGATTATTTATTTGTTTTTAACCTGTTCATTTACTCTCTCCCTGTCAGGTGGGAGCCAGTCCATTCCCCACCCCATGCTCTAATTGTTGGTGGGGTGACCTCTTTTCTTCTTGGTCATTTTCTCTAGGACAAAGACCATCACAATAAAGGGCAGTTCATAGCAGATGTATCCAGTAGCTGAATTTCTTTTTCTGGCCTCCAGTCGATTCTGCTTTTTCCTTTCTAGGGTGTTATCTTACCAGAAAAAGGGGGGGAAATAGAGGCTCTTGACTAGCCGGTGCAGTTGTGTGCAGCAGCTCCACAGTCAGGCTTCCCAGGGGAGTGGAGCTGCACACCCAGCAGTGTGTGTAGGACCTTCCAGCAGGAAGGATTTTACCCCTGCCCAGTGTGCTCGTGGCTGTGTGAGCGTGGGTGCCTGCAGTGGGTCCGTTCCACTGTGCTGAGTACCCGTGTGTGTGACTGCCTTCCCTGAGCCTGCCCGGCTCCGTGACCTCAGGCACATGGGCTGGCAGGCTCTGGAAGGCTCAGTGAGGGAGGTCTAACCTGTCTGCCCACCCAGCAGGGTTAGGGTGGCATTGGGAAACACCCCAATCTGCCACTTGTTCGGGTCGAGCGTTCCCAGTGTTTGCCATGTTTTCTGCTGGTGCATTCCAACTAATCTGAGGATTTACCTGCATGTTTTCAACACTGGTATGATGCCTTTGAATATAGACAAGTGCTTTTAGTGTTTATAGCATGATGCCAGCCTGGACAAATAACCCAGGTGTCTCTGCCCTTTCCTTCCTGCCTGCTCGGAGGGCTCTTTATCCACACGAACCCCTGCCCCGCAGGCAGTCAGGGTGTAACCCCAGCTCTGCAGCACAGAGGGGAAGTCTAACACCCTCAATAGTTCAGCAAACCCAGCGGATGAATTTCCAGAAATCACTTGCACTTGCTCCCAGTGAGACCAGTGGCAGTCACAGGGAACGCCTGGTTACACTTCCCAGTCCTGCAGTGGAGTGCAGCACAGGGACAGCCCCGGGCAGGTGGCTCTGGGATCCAGGTGTGGAGGAACCGTGTGCTCCTTCCAGGCTGCAGGACTGTCAGCACACGCACTGCAGGAGCTGGTGGCATTTTCTCCAAGTGCAGCTGCTCTTTTGGACATGAGGGAACCTAAAACCACCTCTGAGATGAGCAGAGAGAAAATAAATTCTTATGGCTGTCTTTAAACCAATAATTTCATAGTCTAAGGATTTTTTCACTGCCTTCTGAGTTCATTTTTCATCTTCCATGCCCAGCTTAACGAATGATTCACGGGGGGTAAAGTGACTGTTGCATTTTTTGCACTACTGTATGTACATAACAGCTGCTATATCTGTAAATCTATTTACTAGCTTGGTAGACCTGTCCTGGTCATATATGCTATTAATAGAAATGCTTTTCTGTATATTTATAGTCTTCCTTCTGAATATGTGAACTGTCATCTGTATTAATATGTTTATTCTTTTTTCCTTTAGATCAACTAGTCATACAGAATTTACAAGAAAAGCTTCTAGCAGTGAAAAAGACACCAAATCCGTTGTAGTTTTAGATCCTGTGTCCACCAGCGGGGATCAGATGTCTGAAAACACGCTGAACCAGAATGAAGTTAAGGAAGAAAAAAGCAAGCCAACACATAAAGAAAATAATGTTGAGAAAACAAAAGAAACAGATAGTTCTAACTGTTAATTGTTATTCTGAAAGGCTGTTACTTTTGGGAATCATTATCTGGACATGTGAATTGCTTAGGTGTGTTACTCGGGGCTACAGCCTGTACTCCAGACAGTTTTCAATAATACAGATTGAAATGGTCTTTTTGTATGCAGTTTTGTTACATGCACTGAAGTGTTAAATAACTGTGTGTCACTCAAAATCCCTTTCCCATTTTAATTTTGCAGGGAAAGTTATTAATTTCCTAGATAGTGTCAGTTACCTTTACTTTTAAACTGTATTTGAAAAGGCTTTTTAAATTCTTCTTTTATTGAGAAGATGCCTTGTTAAAGGTTGCCAGAAGCCCCTTGCATCCCTCTTGAACTGGACAGCTTTGGGTTAGACCCTGTGAAGGTGATTACACCCTCATCAGCTTCATTATGGGGGGTGTTACTAATTATTAGAAAAAACAAACCAATGTGTTTAGACACATTGCTTTAAAAATATTTGATATCTACTTAAACCAAGATCCTGCTGGTCTCCTCCACACATTCCTTTGAGGAAGCGAAAAGCACAAGCACAACCCTCCTGTTTCAGGTTGCCCAGAAACCAAAAAGCAGAGGCAGTGCAGCATCTCATTGTGGGACCAAGACTTTTGGCAACAATAGCCAGAGTCAGAGGTTTGTGGGCTGAGACTGGTGCTCTCGTTTGGATTAAAAGCTTTGCAAAGGAGGACTTCTTCCTGCTTTTTGTTTCAATGTTATATGGCAAATTTTGGAACTGCTGCAACTGGAGTCTGTATTTGCTGCAAAAAAATAACTTGCCCTAGGCTATGGCTGGCACGGGCTACATTTGGGATTCAGTTGTAGTATTTGGAATCAACATTTTGAGAACTCTCAGTTGAAAGCTCACAGTGCTAACAAATTAGCCCCTGCTTTGAACCTGGCACACACTGATGGCAATAATTTATTAGGTGACACTCAAGATATCTGTATTTGATAACAGAAATCCCAGTTTCCCTCAGCCCTTATTTCCTATGAAGACAGTGAGATAGGAACATGATTGATTTGCTCCACTGCCAGTTCACATTCCACTGTAGTCTCTTTTTAAATTCAACACAGTATCTCATTCTTTTATAATGAATGAACAAATGTAATCAGGGATTTATCTAAAGATTGGTGTAACTGGAATTGGGTGGTCACGTACTTGAATGCACTTGGATTCTTTTTTTATTTAATTATTTGAAACAGTGATAGTATTGAAGGATGAATGTTCTGAGTTTGTTGGTTTGGCTCTGCATGCAACTGTCTGGTGCTTTTCCTAAAAATAAAATGACAGTAATGAGTGTGGTGGTTTCACATCTATTTTGGTGGGTTTTGCATGTTTGCTAAGAAAATCTTGGACTCGATCTAAGTACTGAACTACATACAATTCATAAACTTGGGGAAATCTGTCTCTCATTGATGTTTTCATTTCTTGGGGGCCATTGGTTCTGGTTGTTAATTTGTCAGTTATCTGTTACAGTGAATTTAAAATGCAACATTTCATATATGTATTTTTCCTCAAATTATTGCTGCTGTATTATATGTTCAAATTTTCACATTATACAAAAACCAGAAGTTTTTTCAAGAAGTATTTCTTTTTCTTAAACTGTTTTGTTACCTAGGGCATAAATTATTTCTTTAGCTTTTCATTGTTGCTTATTAAAAAGACTCCTGACAAGTTTCCCAGACCTTGTGGAATTGACTTGTTACTCCCTTCTTCTGAGTGATGCCAGTTCCAGCTTCGTGCCCTACATTTGGGGCTTGCAGTGATGCACTTGTGTTGATGCTCCAGCTGGAGTCTAACAGCAGCTTTGAGGGTATGGGGGGATGGAGCAGCACAACAGTCAAGGCCTTTGTTTTTTGTAAAATGTGGTGAGGTTTTTTTTTTTTAGTGTTTGTCAACAGCTTGCTTATTGTATAGAGAGACATTTCCACTTCCCCAAAACAAACATTTAGCTTTGGACTTAACACAGCACAGTTTGTTTGGTCAATTTGTAAATGCAGCACAGAATTGTGTGGTGTTTTCAAACTATAGTCACTGCTCAGTTAACTTGGTTTCAGCTGAAGGCAATGGTCCCTGGGAAAAGAGAGGCCACTATTTGAAAGCTTTTAGAAATGTTTGGCTAAAGTGCTTGAAAATAAATGGATTAAAGAAAAGTTAATATATGAATTTCATACTAGAATGAAAATAAATGGATTAAGGAATAGTTATATGAGTTTCTGACTAGAATATTTTTTCTTAGAAATTTATCCTAAAGCTCATGTTGACAGCTGGGGTCAGTGTGCTGTTCTCTGGGAGCTGAGGAGGCAGGCTATGAACCTGCAAGAGCTGCGGAGGCAACTAAGCCTGCTCTGGGGGAGGAAGTTCATCAGAAAGTTGATTTTCTGGCTGTGATTCTTCAGCGAAAGCAACAAATTCAAGTTTTGTTTCACCTGAAACAGAAGAGAAAAAAGAAACTTGTGTTTGGTGTAATCTGGTTTCTTGTTACATTCTCTGGTGCACACAGATGTTTTTAAGATGCCACGTGATGCTTACAGGAGTTTAAACAGGTTTAATAAGTCTGGTCCTTAGAAAGAAAGGAGCACCAGTCCTGCACTTTGCTTACAGGATCATGGTGCACAGCAGCCTGAGCCTGGGATATTTATTGCATTCCTTCCTTCATGGATTCCTCACCTTGCTGCCCTATTTTTTGAACATCCATCCTCCTCTGCACTGGTGCTCTTGCCAAAGTTCCCCCCAGCTGACTCTGCCCTTCTCTACCCCAGCCTTTAACAATCTTATGTAAGCCCATGTCCCGATGCTGACCCCGTGACTACAGTTCACAGTCACTGCCACTAACCGCTGTTTTCCCCAGTTCTGTTCTGCTTCCCTAACCTCACCGCCCCCCTCGCTGTTCGGCCACAGGCACAATGCCCCCATCCCTCTGCGCGGCTGCAGGGAAGGGAAGGCAGTCTGTGATCCAGGTGAGGGTGGTGGCTCATCATGGCTGAGCTCTGCACACCCATCCGGGTGAGGGTGGTGGCTCATCATGGCTGAGCTCTGCACACCCATCCAGGTGAGGGTGGTGGCTCATCA